GAGCAGCTTGGAGTTAAGTCGGATTCGCACAGACTAATTATTGGGTCATACAAGGGCATCATAACAATGATTATATTATACGGTGTTGGGCCAATTCAGAAAGTCCTTGAGCCCAAAATGGGTTTTGTTTTAAAGAATGAAGGCTTAGAGGAGGTTCTTGAGTTGGCAGATGGGCTTACATGTAAGTCAAGCCCACACGAGATGGAGAAGACTAAGAGCACAATGAGGCCTAACATTTGTTTGGACTTTAACCCTTTCTTTCAAACAGATGTGGTCCTAGTCCGAGGTGAAGGAAAATATGGTTGGGCAAGGTTATGGGCTGTTTATATCACCAAGCACGAAGCGGTATTGACGAAGCAATCCAATGAATATTTCAAGGTGGTTAATGATAAGCACAATGAAGAAAAATTCTCGGATTCTTATTTCGTAGATTTCAAAATGGCAGAGGGCAAATTGTTCGGCTATGAAGAAAGTGGCATATGTCACGTGGGTGGAGAAGAGACGAGGGAAGTGAGAGTTGCGCGAGAAGAGTTAATTCAAGGAATTGAGCGCAATTGGAAACGAAGAAAGCGGAAGGTCAAGAAGACGAAAGTTGACTGCAACCTTGAGGACAAGGTCACTTTCAAGGAGGGTGGAATGTTAGATAAATATACATAATAATAATTAATAGTGTTAGGCTTATTAGCAGGGTTAGGCGGCTAGGGTAGGCCGATTAGGTTAGGATTAGTTTATTAGGGTTTTGGATTTATTTCCTATAAATATGTACTTTGGGTTTACGTCATAATCAATCAAGAACAATATTAAGAAGAATCTCCTAAACTCTAGTTTATCCTCTCAACCCCTAATTTCTATTCTCGCCTAGTCCAAGGCTTCGGCCGATTCCCAATTCTATTCTATCTCATCTAAATCCCTAATTCTTTCTCTCAATCCCTAAATTCCTAATTGTTATGATAATTACGAGTGTCGAAGATCAGTTCCTAGAATCCTTAACAAGAGGGTTCATTCACAGTCCTTCGATTTAAACGAGCCCTGATTGATCGATCCTCATCTGCCATGATGTCTGGCTCAATGACACGAGGTGGTGGTATCGCTGGTGTAGGGACGACAGGTGATGAAGCTTGCCCTCTCTGTTGACGATTCTTGGTTAGGGAAGGCCTAGGAGTTGTGGTTGTGGTTGGCTGCTTCCCTAACTTGACATGCTTCCTGTTCTGTCGGCAGGTCCTCTCTATCTCTGGATCAAGTGGCAGTAAATTGTCGGTCGTCCTCCTTGGCATGCACGAGGAGGATAAACCTGAAAAATTCACATGCACACTAACACCCAGATCAAAATAGTTCACTCACAAAAATCAACAAAAATAAGGTATGGCAGTCCCCGGCAGCGGCGCCAAAAACTTGATAGGGCAAAAGCGTAATGCCTGAATCCTATCTCGTAGTAAAACCGGGAAGTTCGGGTATCGTCTCTCATGGACTGGTACAACCTTATAATTTATCAATTCTGTGGAGCAAACTATAAGTGAAAAATGGTTTGGTTGATGAGATTATTAACTAATAGCAAAATAATTAAACTAATTAAGCAAAGTAAACTTGTCGGGAGAAATTCACTGGGAGAAAGTTCTGGGAGAAACACCGGAATTCACTACCTATCATATCCAAATTAATTCACATATTTCAATCAATTTAATCCAACTCTCTACAGCCAGGATATCACGAATGTGCTAGCTATCCCTGACGGGAATTACTACGTACTAAACAATAAAATCAAATCCTACTGTCGTAGCTCAATGACTTAATTATTTAGCCTGAAGATCGATATCCTATTTAAGACCACATAGCATCTTATTTAATCCACTTTCGCTTCGATAAGTTACTATGTCACAAGAAATATGTTCAGTTATTAGGGTTTCACTGTCGCTAATAACCTAATCAACTACAAATCAATGTATTGGTGGCCAGTCAACACAAAGCATTAAGTAATTTCATGCAATAGAGATCGGAAGAAAAGAAATATAAATTAATCCATCAAGTATAGAAATAGCTGCATCCTATGGTGTTTCCCCCAGAAATTGGGGTTTAGTTCATGACGAAAATAAAACAAACAATCATGTTTATGTTGATAATAAAACTAATCACGAGTGAAGGAACGAAAACACTAAATTTCCAATGAATATATGTTGTTTCCTTCTCTCCTGGCAGCCTGCAATTGGTGGACTTTCTGCTCTTCGACACTTAATGCTCCCGAGAATAAGCTTCGTCTGCTACCCTCCGTGTGCGAGTGCGATGCTGCTCGCTCTCTCTCCCTTTTAATTCTCCACCAAAAGAAATCCCCCCCCCCCCCCAAAAAAAAACCTCCGCTGCGCCCTGCTGCCTTTCCTCCAAATAGAATTCCGTTCCTTTCTCCACAAGATATTTTCCCCAATTATTTCCTTCCCCCCAAAAGAAGTCCTCCTTTCCTCCCAATTTCGTCTTCTAATTATTGCCCTACCAAGAAATCCCTTCCTGCTTAAAAGTCTCTAGCCCGAATATTATTCCCCCCAGCTAATTTTCGTGGCCCACTCCTTTTCCTGGCCCAATTGCGTCTCCTCCCCGAGACAAAGCGATTTGGGCCCAATTAATTGCTTGTGCACTCGCTTCTTTTTTGTGCTTTCTCCACCTGTAACATATCAAACTCATGGCACTAGGCAGTAATGGTTTTTCAACCATTTCCGGGTTAGCGAGCCCTAAAATAGCACCAATCGGCTTAAACATATCATGAGATAGTCACATAAAGTTTAAGAATCCGATATATTAAAGTCGATTATCAGTACTATCACAATGGATCAATAACAGAGGGACCGGCCTTTCCCATAGGGGAATTTCTGACAACAATCCTCTCAACCAACTTGTTCCTTCACTAGCCGTTGCTAGTGCTATCATCTCATTCCATAGTTGATTGAGCTAGGATTGTTTGTTTCTTTGACTTCCAAGACACAGCTCCCCCAGCGATGTTAAAAACATACCCGCTGGTTGCCTTGGAGTCATCTGATAGGGTATTCCAATCCGCATCACTATACCCTTCTAGTACAGCAGGAAACCTTTGATAGTGTATACCAAGGTTTGCTGTTCTCTTGAGGTATCTCATGACCCTCTCTGTAGCATTCAAATGCTCTCTACTAGGACAGTTATTAAACCTGCCAAACAATCCCACGACATATGCAATGTCTGGTCGAGTGTAATCCGCAGCATAACGGAGATTGCCAATGATGCTAGCATATTCTGATTGTCTTACACTGTCTCCAGTGTTGAAAATTCAAAATAACTAAAATTATGTAGCTTAGACTGAAAATTGGGGTCTACAAATTGGGGGGATTGAAAACTGGACGGTTAAAAAATTGGGCGGGACTGAAATTTGGGTTTGTGGTGGTGAATATGACGAAATATGACGAAAATGCCTTTCGTCAAAAACAAAACCATTATATTATGACGAATATGTCTTTTGCCAAAGCCAAAACCTTTATATTATGACAAACATGCTATTTTGTAAGCTCGTCGTGAGATTATTGCTATCTATTATGATAAAATACTTTGTCAATTAAACAATTTAGGGAGACATAATATTACAAAAGCTACTCTGACGATATAATTTGTCACTTTTGTGTATCTTATGTCTCGTTATGGGATGCCTATTGTGATAAACTTAATTGTGGCACGAAATATTTGTCACATTACTCATTTTAAATGACGACTTATTTTGACAACAACTTTTTTGTCAAATTAGGCATACCAAATAGGATATATATTATTTTTGTCATATTACCGTACCTATTATGACAAGCAAAAAATGACAAAATAAAATTTTTGTCCTAATAGGCCAAATTTGTTGTAGTGACACTAGCATCATACGGAGTACACGCAGGTTTATAGTCGAAATAGTTATATTTCTTCAAGAACTTCTCTATGTAGCTAGATTGATCTAGAGAATAACCATTTGTTGTTCTAGTTATATGGATTCCAAGCATAAACTTTGCTTCTCCCAGATCTTTCACCTCAAAGCTCTCTTTCAACATGGCTTTTGCTTCATTGACCACGTGAATATTTGTACCAAATATTAACATGTCATCTACATACAAGCATATGATAGTACAAGTGTTATTCTCTGACTTGCAATAAATACACTTGTCACTTTCATTCACCTTAAAGCCATGTGAGAGAACGAGCGTGTCAAACTTCTCATGCCACTGTTTTGGAGCCTGTTTCAAACCATATAATGATTTGTCTTACTTACAGACTTTCGAGGCATGTTCGGGAATAACAAACCCTTCTGGTTGTTCCATATAGATTTCTTCATCCAGATCACCGTTCAAAAAAGCAGTCTTAACATCCATTTGGTATACCACGAGATTGTTCAAGGCAACAAGAGTAATCATGACACGAATGGATGTTATTCTAAATACTGGTGAATAGGTATCGAAGAAATCTATATTCTCTCTCTGCTTGTAGCCCTTAACTACTAGGCGAGCTCAGAACCTTTCGATTGCACCATCAGGTTTCCGTTTCGTTTTTAGAACCCATTTATTACCTAAGACTTTGCAGCCAGGAGGGAAGTCTGTTAGATGCCAAGTCTTATTAGCTTCTAACGATTCCATTTCATCTTTAACGGCCTCATTCCAAAAGTCTGCATCTATGGAAATTAATGCTTCCTGCAAACTTTTTGGATCTTCGAGGGTGTATATTGTAGTAAAGTCATCACCAAAATCTTTAGAGATTCTAGCTCTTTTACTTCTTCTGAGTTCATCCTCAGATCCAACACCCCCACTAGTTCCGTTATCTCTAATAGCGGGGTAGTACATTACCCCCACTATTTCTCGTTTTAAATTTTTTTAGAACAGATCTTTAACAAAATGCTTTCATTGGACCAAACAGTAAACCATGAGAACATTTTTGCCAGTCGTTAAAAGTAGAAATATCACATACAATCAGATGGTGTACACAATCCGGGTAACTCCTTCAACCAGTTTCGTCGTCTAACTTGGCGCCTTCCCAATAACATGCTGAGCAATCCATCCGAGGCCATCATACAAGTCCTCAACTATGAGGACACAACATGCTTGGATGTGCCAATCGTGATTCTTGATGATATGGAGCGAAAGGGTATCTGTTATCTCGGCAGGGGTCGTGGCGTCTTTCATGTCTTGTTTGTTTGCAAATACGAGCACAGTGGCCTGCTACAATTCGTCATGACCCAACAGCCGGAAAAGTTCTTCCTTGATGATGGAGATCCTTGCTCTATCAGTGTTGCCTATGACTGCGATTATGGCATGAGTTCCTCGGCAATACGATGCCCATGATGTTGTTAGCCTCTCTTGTCCTTCGAGGTCCCATACCTGCCTCTATCATAAAATAATGTACTTTACGTATTATTAATACCATCACTAACCATAAGAAATCATGGCAATGATGACATGATTAAAAAAAATAAACCAACTTCATGTTATTGATAGCGATGAAGGAAATATGGACTTAGGAGCAAACATAGTGTGGTGCTCTCTTTCTTAGAAGAAAAATGTGAACACACCAGATAGAACAGATGACCTGCCAATCAACTAACCCATTCAAAGCTATCACAAAACAAATTCAATGTCTTCGCTACATGTTTCTTCCCTAAGGAATTCGTTTTCAAGCAGCACATCTGCCCAATAAGAATAATACAAGTAGGACAATAAAACCACATAAAGCATACCTAAGACCAACTAAACAAGGTCTACAATGCAACCATGTTGATGGGCCTACCTTTAATACTAGGAGGCATGTTTAGATCATTGTATCTTGCAGTCTGATAAAAGTCGGTGATAGAAGAAGGAAGAGATCTCACACTTCTAGAAACATACTAGTTTAACTAACAGAAAGATGGGGAACATCCAGCAAACGCTACATGAAAATGGGGAAACTCATCATCGACTTTAATATGTTGTTGTACAAAAAACTAAGTCCAATAAGGAAACACAGAACAGGCATCCAATGTTTCCCCCTTAAATCCTGAACAAGAGCTCAATGCTGACTATGTTTTAAGCTCATTAGGAATTCTTTCTGTGTACAATAGATACGTATAGCATATTACAGATCTCATATTGGTCGCCATATCAAATAGTACACTGGGAGGACTTCGAATAGTTCATATAGCTAGGGAAAGAATAAGACCATCTGGAAGAAAGTTGATATCTAAGGATGTAGATTATGTTTCATCTCGAGTTCTAGGATACTAGGTCTATCATAGGGAAAATTGTTACAAGCTCAACAAACTAAGGGCAACCAGAAGACCTATATACACAATTATGCAGCATTCTTCAAGTCCTATTATCTAAAAGGCAAGGAAGTCTACAATTAACTTAAAAAGCACAATCACTTCCCTAGTTCCCTGTATATGCAACTCCAAATATGCAACCAGATGAGTTCTGATTCCATCCCAACCCAAAAGTCCTAACCAAATGAACTTTCATTTTCCAGGCACAACCTCAAACATAAGTATAGTTCTTCAACAACAATATACCAACAGTCATGCCAGTAGCGATTCACCAAACACAACAATTGGCACAAAAAAAGGAAAGAATGGACATTGAGAAACGATTCCAACCTCGAAGCGTATGTTCTTGTAGACAACCTCTTCCACATTGCTACCAACGGTAGGATGGGTAGTCACCACCTCACCCAAGTGCAATTTGTAAAGAGTGGTGGTCTTCCCTGCATTATCCAACCCAACTACCACAATCTTGTACTCCTTTGCAGGAAACAACATGAACCAAATCTAGACATGAATGCTCCCATCCTTCTTCCCTTTCCTCCTCGTTCTCCTCCTCCTACTATTTCAACAAATCACCAAAATTCAGCAAAATTCAATAACCACCAATCCCAGCTCTACAAATGAAAGGCAACCCAACATGAAAAAGACCGGATTAAATCCCACAAAAGGGTAATAATAGTGTTATGCAAATCATCAGAACATAAAAAGCATCAGAGCCTAGATAAAACAATCACCAGAGGTGAAAGGATTGGAAATTTCGGATCGAACCTTAGAGCTAGGGATTGAAACCAAAGTGTATGAATCCTAGAGGCAAGCAATCCCGATTCTAGGAAATCATCGGAAGCTGCAGCTGACGAGCCAAAGAAAGCGAAAGGTCGAACGAGTAATCGCGTTGGATATAGAGCAATAGGCTATGCGATCTGACTCTTCCTTTCAACAATAATAACCAGAATAAGAATATGACTTTCTCCCCTAAACTGTTAAGTCTAAAATTTAGTATTCAATCTTTAAATTCCATGAGAGGAAAGAAAGGAATGGTCAAAGAATGAAAGCAACCAGAAAGTGGAGGGAGAAACCCATGCTCATTCGAGCTGCTTCCTGACACACGTTGGTGGGAGAAACCCATAATGCTACAACAGTATTGGCCCCAGCCCATCTACTTAGACAAATATTCTTTTGTGCTCCAACAAACTGATAGAGACAGGATCGGGATATGATTAGGGCTACAAATTAGCCAAGTCGTTTGCGAGCAGCTCGCGTTTGAATAAAAAACACTCGTTCTATACTTGGCTTGTTATTTAACAAGCCTCCTCGTTAGTAAATAAGTCAGTTTGAGCTAGACCATGCTCAGCTTCATAAGCTTGTGAGTTAGCTTGACCCGGTGGCTTGTTAAACTAAGCTAGCAAGCTGGCTTGTTTAAACCTTGCGGAAGGATTAATACTATTTTGAACATAAACATTATATTGTTAATACATATGCATATATAAGTTAACGATTATTGTTAGTTTGCTTTGTTAATGAGCATTTATTCAATCCGAGCTATAAGTTAACGATTATAAGTTACCGAGTCGAGCTCGAGCTAGATTATTTTTATTCAATCCGAGCATGAGCTCGAGCCTGATTATCAAAATTCAAGTTCGAGCCGAGTTCAAAATAAAAATTTTATAAACGATCAGAGTTTAAACTAAGCAAAAACTTGACTCGACTCGGCTCGTTTGCAGCCTTATCATCAGATCACACATGGACATACATCGAGACTTGCATAACGGCTGCACCTGATTGTTTCTCTCTTAGTTACACCAACCAAGCCCACCAGTCCGCCCGTTTAACACCTGCAGCACTATTCAAAAATCATGTTTGGCAATTACAAGATTCTTGACCTTTTGACTTTCTAGTTAGGCTAAATTGCAAGTTTGGTCACTTGAATTACTAGTGAATTTCACGTTAGCCATTATAATTACTTTATTCCATCTGTAGTCACTTACATTAAGTTAACAGTCCAAATTTGGTCACTGGAAGCTAGTCTCCATTAACTTTTGCTGATGTAGCGGTGGTCAACTCTAATAGTTCACCGTTAAATGAATGACATGGAAATTAAAAAATAATAAAATAATAAAAATAATTATTTTTATTTTACAGCTAATAATTATTTTTATTTTACACCTTCGTCTCCCTCCTCCTTGAACAGACACATGACCTTGGTCGTCCCGCACTTGTGACCAATGGTGAACCTCTCATCACAATTAAAGCATAGCCCCTGCACGCAACGGAGCTGTTGTTCCTCCCAGTTGAGCCGCTTCCACGGTCCCGATCCACGCGCCAGGTTCGAGCCACCCGTCGGCCCTGAGTTGGTCACTCTCTGTGGCAGTAGGCCAATGTTGTACCATTGGTGCATCGCCGGCAAAGCTCTTGGGGATGGCTTATTGACACGCTAAAACACAACACCACACTGCGACCAAGTGTAATCGCAGAATGGGACTGCAGTATAGTGGCTCAAGTGATAAATATCGAATCCACGGGTCTCTAGAGTTACTATTACTCAGCTTCAGTTTATTATTTAGCAAATCAGATTAAGATGAAAGAACTAAAACTACTCTAGCAAACTACAGTTAAAGTTAATCTAATTACAGGTTGGGAACTCACTTAGGTATGATTCCCCCTAGCCACTAGCCAGATTAACGATTGATGATCTCTAACCTGTTTCACTTTCATTCACAATGCGGAGAATCCTTGACTAGACCTTGAGTCTCGACTAAAGGAACAAGGCCCTCTTGAGTCAATTGCTTAGAGGGACGTATCCTTCTCTAGAACAACTGATCAAGGCGTTCTGAACTAGACTCCCTCTATCGAAAGGGGTTCTCAATCGATACAAAGCAGTGAATCAACCCTCGACTAAAGCAATCGATCCACTACTATCAATCTATGGTGCTCTATTGACCTAATCAGGTATTCCCTCTCATAGGATCAAAGCAGAATCAATAATCTCGACTAAAGCAGAATTGAATCATGAAAACATGCATAGATTGAATATGAACTCAAGATTATCCAGTCAGAGTACTCATACAATCATCCAATCAAACAAACATAGCTAGGGTTCCTCAAAACCTAAGTGAAGGGAAGTTACTCCATAGAGAAGAGAGAGACTGCAGTAAGAATCTTCAGATGATCAGTCTTCAAGTCCGGGCTTGTTCCTCGAGCTTCCAAGGCGAAGAAATCCTCCAACTCCACTCCAAGAATGCCCTCAAATCGCCCTCTCTCTCTTTGGTTCGTCCCTTGGGTGTTTGGGATCCAAAACCCAGCTCTCCCCCTCTCCTTTGGCTGAAAATCGGGTTTTAAGCAGAAAATCCCGACTCACACGGCCAGGGTGGCACGGCCGTGTGGCTTACCCAGTTGCCCGTGTGAGTCAAAACGCTGCGTTCCAATTAGTTCGAATTCCAGGCTCTTGCACGCCAGAGTGGCACGGCCGTGTGGACATCCCCTCTTGCCCGTGTTTGCTCTCGCAGAATGTGGCACGGCCAACCCGGCCACTTGCACGGCCGTGTCGATCCTCTGCTCTGCCCGTGTGTGCTCTCGGCAAAACTCGCACGGCCAGGCCATTACTTCACACGGCCGTGTGATCATCAGGGCAGCCCGTGTGACCTCCTTTGTGACTTGTCTCGCGCCCGATCTTCGCCCAATCGACCCCAAACTCGCTCCTAAACCTTCATTCACTTGCCAGGACCTGAAATATCACAAACAAGCACAACCTAGCGTGAAATCGGTCTAAAACACGAGAAACCACCTCTCAAACGGTGTAAGAACAGGGGTGAAAACATGTGTAACTAACTGGTCTATCACTTATGCTGTTGCAGCTAGTCATTCCTCATTCATGCGAGGCTAATGGTGTCTCGCAGGATACTCGAACAAAACATCTGAATTTCTTTAGCAATTTTGGGACTGAGCCATAGAAGCTTACATCCTGCTATTGGCGTTTGTCTTATCTGCATCGTCTCGACCAAGATCCTGAAGGGGTTCGCCCAAGTATGTGCCGACCATAGCCTGTTGCGTCCAGCCTACACAGTGGTTGGCGAGCTTCTCAAACTCCTGCTGGCATTCGCGCAATGAGCAGATTGTCGAATACGCGATAGAGCCTCGTCGCAACTTTCCTATTCGGTAAGGCAAAATCTCTCCCAACTCATGCGCAAACAGCTCCCACGAAATTTACTCAACTGTGTCCTTATAGGTCCTCTTCAACCACTCCTACCACCGGTTAGATTCTCCTTCCAGATGAAAGGAAGCCAACACCACTCGTTGATCCCCCAGTACATCCTAGTATTCAAAGAATTGCTCAACACGCGAAAAGCAAACTCCAGGATCATCCCCTGCGAACTTGGGTAACTCTAGCCTAGCCAGCTTGGTAAGTAAGGTAGCACCGCTGCTGCCCCCACTAGCACGACCGTCCGTCTGCGCCCGCCGATCATCGCTCGCCGCCTTGGTTTCCAAAGCGATGGAGTCCCCAAACGTCTTCACCGCCGACCCGTCCTTCGCGACAGCCTCCATCTCACCGCTCTTCACGCCACCAACCTCCTCACCGAGGGCCAACTTCCCCTCCCACTGTTCGAACCGCTCCATGAGCACTCAGACCACCTGTAGGACCTCGCTGAACTCCGTGCGCATCTCAAAGAAAGCAGTACTCAGCTACTCCTCACCAAGCTGCAGATGCTCGACCGCCGCCTCAAATGCCGAACACCTCTCTGTCGCCGTCCCGCCCATGGCTTTGATACCAATTTTATGAAAATGTTATCCACGTTCCAAGGGTTTGCTTGTAGCTCACAAGCGGGAGAATGACGTATAGTGTCGAAAGTCTTTTAGGTTTATTATTCGATAACCGGACTAATGTCGAACTGACAATATATAGATGCAAAACCCCTACTCATGACCTAGCTATAGCCGACCCAACCCTTACCCTTCTCCTAGCCAGACTCGGCAAACTCACACCCCAGACCTAATTCAACTAATGACCTGACTAATGGCCCTAAGCCCAATACCCTTAACCCCTTCCTACGTGCACCCATCATGCCTCCATCAGAAAACAATGTACTTCGCATATTATTAAACCATCATCGACCATCAATAAAAAAATAAAACAACTTCATGTCATTAATAGCAATGAAGGAAACATGGAGTTAGGAGCAAATATAATGTGGTGCTCTCTTTTTTAAAAGAAAATTGTGTTAAACAAGGATCAGATAGAGCAGAAGACCTGCCAATCAACTAACCCATTCAAAGCTATCACCAAACAAAGTCAATGTCTTTAATACATTTTTCTTACATAAGAAGTAGATTTGACTAACAAGGCTAAAATAGAAGGACAACAAAACCGCAAAAAGCAGACCTAAGACCAACTGAACAAGTTCTAGAATGCCTCCATGTTGATGGGATGCCTTTGAACACTAGGAGGCATGTTTGAATATCCTTGCATCTTGCAGTCTGATAAAGGTAACGATACAAGAAGGAAAAGATCTCACACTTCTACAAAAATACTAGTTGAACATAATGAAAGACGGGGGACATCCAGGAAACGCTATATGAAAATGGTGAAACTCATCATCTGCTTTAATATGTTGTTGTACAGAAGCTGATGTCCAGTAACAGACATCCAATGTTCCTCTTGTTTACCCCCAACTCATGCACAGCAGCCCGGTGCTGCCAATGTTTTCTAAGCTCAAAAAGACTCTTCTCTATGTGAAATGTACGCTTATAGCATATTAGATTTCATATGGGCCGCCACATCATATAGTACACTTGGAGGACTTCGAATAGTTCATTGGGCTAGGGAAAGAATAAGACCATTTAGTAGAAAGTTGATATCTGAGGAAGTAGACCATGTCTCATCTTGAGTTCTAGGATACTGGGTCTGCCTTGGAGAAAATTGTCACAAGCTCAATAAACTAAGGGCAACAAGAAGACCTATATACACAATTATACAAAATTCTTCAAGTCCTGTTATCTAAAAAGTAAGAAAGTCTACAGTTAACTTAAACCGCACAACCACTTCCTTGTATATGCAACTCTAAATCTGCAACCAAATGAGTTCTTCATTCAGACAATTATGTTCCCATTCATTCTTCCAAACCCAAAAGTCCTAACAATAAAATTTCACTTTCCAGGCACAACCTCAAACAAACCTATACCAACAGTCACGCCAGGAGTAATTTACCAAACACAGCAATTGCCAATTTGTTTCGATGGCGAAACTCGCGTGTTCAATGGGCTCTGTTTTCAAGGAAGAAAAAAACACAAAATTAACACAGCCGTCAAATATCCACCGCCGAATGTCGGTGCCGTTGATTTGTTCGATAGAACAGAAACAAAGACGACCGTCAAATATCCACCATTGAGTTTCGAGCGATGTTGATTTGATCGATGCACCTTTGACTTCTAACCAAGAACAACCGTTATTCGGTTCACCACCTCTCCAAACTACGTCCGAACGAGGGTGTTCGACGAATATCCAGAAAACCGAACCAAGAGTGTTCTAAGTTACGTTACTTCTACTCCTATGGAGGTTCCTCTGGAGAGCTCCGCGACTACGACTACGACTATGATGACTACTACGACTCTGCAAAGGAGGTCTTTGACTAAGCGGTTCTACTAAACTAGAGAGAAAAAATGATAATTCTACGACGGTGTAGTTTGTGATTTGATTTTGCCGTCTTGAGCTTCTCTCTCTTCCTGATGTTTATACCGCAATCTTCTGCCTGTAGTCTTAGTAACCGCCTTCACGCCTTTGTCTCCCACGTCTTCATTCCTGTCAACCATGTGGGTAACTTCCTCCTTGTTGCGTGATAATCATGTGTCCCCGAAACCGCTCCGCTACGTAGAAACTTGACAAAACGACGTTGAGCCAAATCCTACAACCTTGTTCATGCAACGATGACGTCTCACCCCCATAAACGGATTGAATAAACCTCCTGCGTTCATAACGTCGTTCTCATCATCCCTAAAAATATCATGAACCTTGTGACATAGTTTTTAATCACACAACGTCGCTCACCAATACCGCGGCATCGCTTTTCACTAATTGATGCCTAACTTGAACTACCACATCCCGGTCCCATCAAACAATGTCATTTTTCATTCCGCGACATTGTTCTCTACCAAACGGTACCGTTTTTCTTGTCTTGCGGTGTTGTTGGGCTTTCCGGGCCTCGCCAAAATCCAACCCGCTGTGGTATGGTTTCTAACTAAACGGCATCGCTTAGTAATATCGCGGCGCTGTTGATGCCTTAAGCGGTGTCGTTTTTAGCTAAACAGCACCGCTTGATTCTACCAGCGACATCGTTTTAATATTAATCGATGTTGTCCTAACTACTGCGGCATTGTTGGGCTTACTCGCGGTATCGTTTCCTTCCACAAAACAGTTGTATTTGCTTTTTATCCGCGACTTTGTTTTATATTGAACATTGTCGTTTTCTTATCTGCGATGTTCATACCTCTTGCGGCATCGTTATTAACTAAACGACACCATCCTAAATAATCATTAAAAATATTAATTAATTAAGTAGGCCATCACCGTTGACCTGCAGTCAAACTCGTGTGTTGACCAACGACATCGTTAGCGCCAAAACGCCTCCGCTTGCTTTTCCTTTCACGACATTGTTTTTTATTTTGAATACTACTGTTTGCTAGTACAGCGGTACCATTGGTTTATAAGAATTATGAACCAAATTGTTGACATAATTCTAAACACCTAAAATACTTCCAAAAGATTCAACCTAGTTTGCCAAGAAAAGCGGCCGAGATATTTTCTAGTATGGAAAAGTTTACTTACCATGGCCACTAGCATTCTCCTGATGTAGAAAGGACTGTTCAGGCTGCTTCTACCCCCTCTGTGGCCGCGAAATCTTCATAACAACAACATTGTTTTTACTTGGCTCAAGGAGGATGACGTTTCAACATTGCTGGCTAATTTGTCACCTTGCAGGGCTGCTCCCCACATTGTACACCTCAAGCACTGGCCAATGAGGTTTGCACGGAACGACAGCGTTTATTAGTGCCTCCAAATCACCAACTGACTTGCTCACGTTCCTTTACAGGCTAGCACTACAAAGTACAAAGTTGTTTCTGGGAAAACAACAAGGTTTGGCCAACTAACAATTTTCTCATAAGACTAACTTTGGGCCATGCCCTTTAATACGACAATTCCATTGGACATTGGCCATTGCCCATAAATAAAATAATACCCCACACTCCATTTACCAACAACGTTGTCGTGTGTTCAGCAATGGTTTTGTAGCCTCAACAATTTTGTAACACACACGGCAGGTCCACACTATTGTTTTGGCCAAAAACGACTTTGTAATATATATATAACAACACCGCTCAAACTCCTTCGTGGCGTGGTTTCATCCAAACGATTCCGTTCACCACGACTCCCATTGGCGTTATTTCGTCCCGTCCAGTTGGCCAATTCTCAATCCTGCGTGGGTTTCCTTGCAATGCTGGGGAAACTAGCTTGAACAATTTCTGTACTTCTCCATCAAGAACAAGGCATTAGAATTAGCCACCATGTTGGCTTCTAACTTCTTTCCCCAATATTGCAACAACAAGTAACAGCCATCAATATTGCTAATATTTAATGAACCATAATTGGCTGAATTGTTTTATTTATTTGTTCTTCAACACTACAAGAAACTTTTGTACGGAACCAATAGGCAACAACCCTGCAAGTCGCGGCCTGCAGCACTGCCTAAGTCCAAACGACAAATTTTCCTTTGTGCGGCCATAAAAATAATTTATTTTCCAACTTATAGATTACTATTATTATTTTTTTACTACGATCTGGCCAATTTTTCAACAACGCTGCTTGGGTCAACAATCGTTTTGAGACCCCTTTGTAATGTCGTTTAGGCCAAATTTTAATCTTCTTTTCTTGTCAAAGCAATGCTGCAGTAAACCTTTTCACGGCCGCAAAGTACTTATCCAAAACAATGTTATTATTTATCCCTCAAACAGCCTTTGTTTCCCCGATGTTCGACCCAACAACAAAACGGCACCGCACGAAACACTTCCATCATCGTTGCTAGAACAATGACCATGGTTGGTCCTTCTTCCCTCATCACACAAAGTTGTTTCCCTCCACAATCAACTCCGATTCTTCTTCTCTCTGTGTTGTAACCATGTTGTTTTTCCTCCAAACAACTATGATTTTTCTTTTTTCCGACGTGCAACAACTCTGTTTCTCCCACGTTGGACCAGGAAATATCAACGAGAGAATAACAATAAAACGGCACTGTAGCACCAGTCTCACGTAACAAGCAAAAAAGGAGAAAAATAATTTGGTATTACACCGCACCGGCTGGGATCATATTGACCCTGCTGATGTCCTTAAAGGCATTAAGAATTTTCCTTTATGGGTAACAGAGTTGGCAAATTGATGTACTTGTTGCATACATCGCAATCTCGTACCACTAAACCATGTTGTGCAAACTCGGTGGCCGCGAGGCCACATCCTTTTGCATGTGGTTGATCGTCATCGCTCAGACTAATGACCAGCTGCGTCCCATAGGGACGGCACGTATGGCTTTAAATATTTGCCATTTATCAAACGCTCATGCATAACTCCATCC